TAAATTGTCCGTAGGTGTGAATGTGAGTGTGCTTGGTTGTCTGTCTCTAAGTGTAGCCCTGTGATAGACTGGTGACCTGTCCAGGGTGTCCCCTGTCTTCACCCTGAGTCAGCTGGGATAGACTCCAGCCCCCCATGACCCTAGTGGGGATTAAGCATTGTATAGATGATGGATGGATGGATGGTTACTTGTTACAGCTCTAATGTCATAATCGGTTAATCTGGTGATTTAGAAATTGACAAGATGAGATTTTCACATGTTTTCATACCTAACAGTTGATGTATTTTCACTCAAAAAACCAAACTGTGAAACCATTTAAAGATGAATGTCTCTAAAACTGTAACTCCTACAGTCATGTGATTTGGTGAGGACACATATATGCAGAAGTAACGCTGCCACATAAATGTAATAGCAGTAAAAAGTATTTCCTACTTAAATGTGGTACCAGTACCTCTAATATGTGTTAAATCCTGCTGCAGTATAATCCAGACATTGTTGTTCATTTGGACAGACGCCGACGACTCAGAATCAGCCGGAGACGCCTCTGCAGGCGGAGCTGCTGCCGGATCTGACCGGTGCCGCTCAGAGTCCGCCGGCCGAACACATCGTGGCGCCGCCGTCCACCGTCGACACGGCGGCTCTGAGTGAGGAGCCGCTGCCGGGTGAGGACCTCAGAACAAATCCTAACCACACAAAGTGCTTTTCTGCAGTTTTCTGCCATAAAATAAATTGTATCAGAAGAATTTAATGTAAAATGAACATTTTTTTTGTTGACTTTTGGTTGTTCAAGCTGCAGAAGACACACATTTTGTCCTTCATACACATTCTTCAGTGAGACAGTTATGTGTGTGAAACAGTCAGTACAACAAAGTGCAGCTCTAACACCATGACCCCGTCCTGTGTCCTCAGTCAAACCTCTGACCAAACCGACCCGTCCGGCCCACATCTGCGCCACCTGCAACAAGGAGTTCAAGAACAGCTACAACCTGCGGCGGCACCAGTCGGTCCACACCGGCATCAAGATGAAGGACCGGGCGGCCCGGGAGAAGGAGGACGGAGCGAAGGCGGGTCGGCTGGAGAAGCAGACGGTGCCGCTGTCCCTCCTCCACCTCACCCTCCCCCCTCAGCCTCCCCCACAGCCCGCCACCGACACCCTCCCCCAGCCGGGCCAGCTCGCCAACCAGGAGGGCCAGCCGGTGTCCGTGTCCATCGCCCCGGCAACCGTCACCATGGCTGCGCCGCCTCAGCCCATCCAAGCAGCTGTTGTTGTCGTCGGGTCCATGGAGCAGGTGGGTTCTCCGGGAACCGAGCCAGAGAAGAGAACTCAGAGGTTCTGTTTGTCCATTTTCGTCTGCACACGCTGCTTAACCCTCTGAACTCCTGTCTTGTTTTAACTCACTGTGGCTCGTTTTTCACTGCAACATAAAGTCCTGCACCTCAGTGGAAACAGAACAACCAGGAAGAGAACTCAGAAATGTCTCTTGTGCAGTATGGCACAATCAGAGTGACACAAAGAGACACAAAATCACACAAAGAGACACAAAAATGGCACAAAAGCTGCATAATTAATAGACAAAAATTACCCATACACATTGTTTTTTTTTTTTTTAGAAATACAAAAAAATAATTTAAAAAAAGTAAAAATAACACAAGGAGACAGAAAGTACAGATAGAACCAAGTTTCCATTCGTTGGAGGTGAAATATGTTGAACTCGGAGCAGTTTCTGGGTTTTTTTTGCTCTCATCACATTATTCTCCACTGAGGGCTCATTGTTCCCTGCGATGTATTTGGAATATTTGTCTCATCTTGAAAAATTGCCAAAAAATAAATTATTTGCTCTAACCATCCATCTATTATCTATACACCACTTAATCTTCACTAGGGTTGCGGGGCTCTAACCAGATTCTGTGAAAAAAATAAAAATAAAGAAAAAGAAACCACACACAGGACTTCAGAGGGTTAAACACACACAGAACATTCTCGTTTAAATTAAGCTGCTGCCATCTGACAAGAAAAAAAGTCACCTGATCTTTTGAAGCTTGTTTTGATTGAAAGTTCTCCGTCATCTGTTGGATTCCGACTGAGACGCATGAAAATATTTTGGCACATTTGGACGCAACTCTTCTTCTCCTGCACCGACAGAACCCAAACCCCGCCCCCATCGCCAACACCAACCAGGTGAGGAAGAACCACGCCTGCGAAGCCTGCGGTAAGGCCTTCAGAGACGTCTACCACCTGAACCGGCACCGGCTGTCGCACTCGGACGAGAAGCCCTACTCCTGCCCCATCTGCCAGCAGCGATTCAAGAGGAAAGACCGGATGAGCTACCATGTCCGCTCGCACCAGGGCGGCGTCGAGAAGCCCTACGTCTGCCCGCACTGCGCCAAGGCCTTCTCCAGGTACCGACCCACAGAAAACTTTCTTAACACTGGATGGAACCTCTGTTACTACAGAGCAAGGACAGGGTGAACGGATCTCCAAATGGTTTAAAGATTCCTGCAATATTTTAAGCAAGAGTGCCTGATTTGTATTTTACAGTTTCAGAGTCACAATAAAAGGAAGGTTTAAGGCAGGGATCGACTATTTAGGCCGATATTTGGCATTTGTAGATTATCTGTATCATTATTTTTGTTGACAGTTTATGACAAAGTATATTAAATGTGACTCTGGCTCTGATGCAGTCGCTCTCTTTCTGATGCCCCGCCCACATCTCTGTCTGATTGACAGAAGTAACAGCCAATCGCTGAAAGCCATTGTTTACACAGAGAGGCAGAGTATGTCACTTCTTCCTAAAATCAGATTAACACTAACACTGTTCTAACTGATAGACACGTCCCTCTAGCAGAAACAAATAAAACTGAACAAGAAGCACAGCCAACAAATCAGGACATTAGCTGCTTCTAAAGTGGCTAATGCTATGCTAGTGGCTAGCAGGTAGGCTGGGAAGCAGCCACAGATTAAACTGAAACAGAGTCTGGAAATCAATAACTAACATTGTTTTAAGATCTGAACCGTAGTGGGAAATAAAAGTGATAAAATAGAAAAAGATTCTAAAGACAGAGAGGAGCAGCAGGAGACAAACTGTCGATCAAACAGTAAACAGGAGAGCATCGTTGGGTCACAGGACGCTCAAATGTCATCACTCCTATTTCTATTGTACATATTCAGGCACAGTAATCTTTGTTAATGAAGAAGCCTAGTAATGAATGACAGGCTCACCGCTATCACATGCTGTTAATAAGTAACTTTTAATGTATGTTGGTTCCAGATATTGGCTGTCCGCCTTTCTTGATAACCAGTAATCGATATTAACATTTTAAAAAACACATTGGTTCATCCCTAGTTTGGGCACCCTGCATGCTCAGCTTGTTTTTGTAGTGGCTCAGTCTTTCAGTTCTTCTTCACACGTTCTTTCTGCAGCAGTGCTGTCAGATTAACGCTGCTCTGCACAGATTCTCCATCATGTCCAGCTTGAGGCACTGTTGTAGAAGCCAATAATGTAATAACAGCCGATAACGTAATAAATTTGCCATTTTTAAAATGTAATAGGCCAATAACATAATAATTGGCCAATAACATAATAATTGGCCAATAACGTAATAAAAGTCCTGAACCAATAACGGCAATAACATAATAACCTATTACATTATTGACCTATTACATGTTAAAAAGTGCACATTTATTACATTATCGGCTTCTACAACTGTGAGGCTAAAACCTTCATCAGGGCTCCACACTCACTTTTTCACTGGAAAGCACTTTATGCTGTTGACTTGTCTGTTTTATCTTCTTGTATTGCACGATTAGGATATAATTTATCACTTTAAAATAGTTGAAATCATTTGTCTAATCTGACATTTGTTTCATTGTGAAGCCCAAACCAGCTCATTCTGGTCTGAGGTTGAAATGATAAACAAAGCTGAACTCTCTTAAAGACTTTTGCATGTTACTTTTTCACTTTTTTTCACTTTGAAACTGCACAAAATAAAGATAAACGCTGATTCCACTTCAGAGAGTAAAAAGAATTCATCTTCAACTTCAACTCTTTTGGAGATCAGCTCATCTTTCATTATTCTCAGGACACATTTGCACAGTTTCCTGCATCCGACGTCGTGCTCTGCAGAGTTTGATTCATTTTGTTTTTTTGGTGTTTTCAGACCGGATCACCTGAACAGTCACGTCCGACAGGTTCACTCCACAGAGAGACCCTTCAAGTGCACGGTAACAAACTCACCTGTTCACTGCATCAAACTCACCTTCATCACCAGGATGATGATCAACTAAGTCCCAAAAAAAAATCAGACCTCAAACATTTAAAAGTCCACCCTCATTAATGCTTTCTTTAGAGGTAAATCTGCACTAATTTGTAAAATAATTAAACATTTTCCTCTTGTATTTTCACCCAAACAGTCATAAAAGACAATACCTGACTCAAGTGTACAAAGTTTAGAAATGTACAACAACTAATCATTAATTTTCTGAAATCTGGCATCATTACTGACGCCACTACTGCTTCTATATTTAACAAAGAAACTCTTTGAATTCTTGAAATGAAGGCTAATAAATATGTTGCATGATGTAACGTTTTCCTTGTTTTGTGTCATTTTTTCTTTTCTTTTTTTGCTTTGTTTCTAGATTTAGGCATTTTGTATCACGTTTTTCTTGTTTAGTGTCATTCTGTGTCGCGTTTTTGTAGCTGAGTGTGACAGTTTGATTGTTTTATGTGTCTTTGAGACAGTTTTGCCTCTTTGTGAGATGAAACTATGATACATGTCATAGCATTGATGCTCAAAATTGGTGATAGAAAAAAATGAACAAAAAACAGGTTTAGCCTTCAGATTGTGACGCCTGGAGTGGATGTAAAACTGATTTGGTTGCAGTTTTTAACAAAGCTCAAATGTGTGTTTCAGCCCTGAAAATGTCATGTGTCTATCTGCTGTACTGATGAAGTTATGAGGCTCAGAAATGATGGAAAAAGTCCAATAAAAAGTGTGAAATTTGGACCCACCTCTATGTACTTCAAGGGCCTGTAACTGTGAAAATATTCATAGTATGAAGGTAAAACTTTGCATGGCTTCATTATATATACTAAAGTTACTGTAGATACAGAATCAGCTGATTCTGAGGAGGTCAGGGGGGAGAACACACTGATGTCTTTATAACCCGTTTACTAAAAGTCTTCTCACGCACCTCCTTGTTTGTTGCAGACGTGCACGTCGGCGTTCGCCACTCGGGATCGTCTTCGCGCTCACCTGATTCGCCACGAAGAAAAGGTTCCGTGTCACATCTGCGGGAAGCTGCTGTCGGCCGCCTACATCACCGACCACATGAGAGTCCACAACCAATCACAGCACCACGCCTGCCACCTCTGCAACCGCAGTAAGAAACATGTGGAAGTTACTCACAACACGAACCGCTTTGATCCCGTCTCATTTTTCTTCACTGTGGGTTCACTCCAATATAAAGTCCTACAAACAACCGTGAAGAAGGAGAGAGAACTCAGAAATGTCTACTGTCACTACAACACATGTAGAATGATAGAAACATTTTGTGTATGTTGAATCTAGTTGTCACAGGTGTTATCAAGGCTGGGGGAAAAAATGGTGGCTCTACATTTTATAGACATTTAGCTATTAACATTTTTAAATAATTTCCGTACTCGTCTCTTCAGCTGAAAACTCTCTGTCATGGCTTCTCAACTTAGAAGTTATTTATTTTTTATAGAGTCTGAAATATCAGGATTTTAAGCTCAGGTTTGGATCATTTTCGTAACACAGATCAGTAGCTTAAGGACCCTCCAGAAGTTAAAAATCTGATGCTGGAGTTGTTATTCCACCTCAGATCATAGATATGTATAATGAAGGCTAGATGTCTTAGGGCAGCGTTTCGAACGGGATCACCCTTCGGCCATCTTGACACGGGGCAGCTCTCTGGCAGAACCTGTGGGAAGGACGGTGAGTGATCTGCACAAGCGTAAATACTCTTATCTCGCTGAAATCTTGACGGATTTACAAACGGTTTGGTTTCCTACAAACGTTATTAACATGGCTACAATTCAAATTACAAAAATACAAATAAAATGCAAAATATTTAAAATGCTAATTGTTGCTGGCGAGTGTAACATAATTATTCATAAGTGTATCCATAGGTTTATAACAAACCAAACCGTTTTGAAAATCGGTATAAAATTGAGCAAGTTACGGTTATTTAAAAATGGCCGCCAGTGTGGCCGTGTGATTCCATTGGCCGACAGCGTGGACGAGACATCTAGCCTTTATTATACATATCTATGCCTCAGATCATCAGTGCCATTCTGTTCTGTTCTGCCTTCAAGATTGCGGATTCTGAATCAACGACATGATGAGGAGTAACAGTGAAAAGTTCAGGTTTTTATCTGTAATAGTTCCTGAGATGATGTTGTTCAAACTGTTTAAATTTCTATGTGGAAAAAAAAAACCTGTTGAGAGTGGGTTGATGAGTAGTTTAAAAAAAAAAAGATCACTGAAAGTATTTGATATATGAAACTAAAATTTCACAGATATCTTTAGAAATTTCTGCTGTCAAAGTTCCAGGTAAAGCAGAGATGATCAGGAGAAACTGTTGCTGGATCTTTAGCTCGCTCTGTGTGAACCTTCTGACCCGAGTGTTTGTGTTCAGGCTTCACCACGCTCACCTACCTGCGGGTCCACGCCCAGAAGCACCACGGTCAGGAGTGGAAGGAAAGCGGCGGCGCTCGGGGCGGTTTCGGCGGGACCGGTGCCGGCGGCGTGCTGCTCTGTCAGCTCTGCGGAGTTCAGTGCAAGACGGCCACGCAGCTGCAGGGTCACATGGGCACCCACGCCAACCAGGGCGACCCGGGCCCCGACCCGACCAGCGCCGGGCCCGTCGGCACCACCAGCGTGGCCGTCACCGTGTCCAGCGCCAGCACAGTGGGACTGCTGGTTACTGACTGCTCCAGTATCGCCCCCCAGCCCCACAGCTAGCTGGGAGGGCCGGGGGAGCCGGGGAGGGACGGGTGGGACCAGGTGGGACCAGGTGGGACCGGGGAGGAGGCAGCAGCTAAGAGACGTGGAGGAAACTGAGCAGCCGGTCCAGGTGTGTGGACATTTAACCCCAAGCCATTCATGTGCTCAGTTTGCTCCTGTTTCATTTTTCCTCACTGAGGCTCATTTTTCACAGTAACATAAAGTCCTGCAGCTCTGTGGAAACAGAACAACCACGAAGAAGGAGAGACAACTCAGATCACAGTCAGGATGATACAAAGAGGCAAAAAGGACACAAAAATATGCAAACATGATACAAAAAGACAAAAATATTCAAGAATAATGTGCAGAAATGACACAAAAAGGGGAAAAAAAGGATGCATAAATGACACAAGTTGCAAAAATAAAAGATAAAAATGGCAAAAATGACAAAAATTATAGGAATAGCAGATGAAAATTACACAAAAAGATACACAAATTACACAAAAACAGACAAAATGACACAAAAAAGGCAAAACCATGCAAATAAGATGAAAACATGACACAAAAAGAGAAATGTGCAAGAATAACATGCAGAAATGATACAAAAGGCACAAAAAATATGCAGAAATGACAGAAGTTGTAGGAATAAAAGATGGAAATGACACAAAAAGATACAAAAATTGCACCAAAAAACACATGATACAATGACACAAAAAAGGCAAAACCATCCAAAAAAGACACAAAAAGATGGAACAAAGATACAAAAAATCCTGTTGTGTGAATGTTCTCTGCTTGCTGACATTATAATTTTAATCCACACAATAATCCCCTACTTTAAAGTTTAAAAACTAAATTAGGATTTGAAATTAAATGAGGATTAACTGTAAAAAGGCATGCAGATGAATGACGTTCCTTTGTTTTTATTTTGCAGATCATTTGTGCCACAGGTGGACACCGGTCAGGAGAACCTGCCTGGACGTTTGATTCCATGTCGTTTTGTTCTGGTTCAGCAGTCGATCTGCCTCCAGCACCCACAGACTCACACTTTCTGTACAAACTGTACGACGTCCTGCAGAGCCGAGGAAGGACGGACGGACGGCAACCAAGCCTCTGTTTGTTCATAAAGGAGGAAAATTAATGTGTATTTTTATTCTTCTGGCTTAGCGACTAGCTGTCATCATTTCATGGTTTTGATTTCCAGCGCAGCCGCTCATGATTTTGTAAAGCTGTTTTTATAACCCATGATATCAGTGTTTGTTTCTGATGAGGACCTGCAGACCTCAGTGACTTACAGTGAATACTAAAAGGATTCACCACCCTGGGTGCTTTTGACTTTTATTGCTTTTCAACATTGAGTCATGGTCAACTTAATTTGTCTTTATTGACAAAGATTTACAAAAAAAAAAAAAAAAACAGTCTTTCATGTTAAAGGGAAAACATCTCTACAAAGTAATGTAAATTAATTAAAAATGTAAAATCAGTGGTTGCATCAGTATTCAACTCTTCCAGGCAGTATTTAGTAGATTCACCTTTGGCTGTAGCTACAGCTTTGATCCTGTTTTGGTCTCAACCAGCCTGAACATCTGGATGCTGCAGTTTTCCATCATTCTTTTTTGTGAAACTGTTCAAACTCTGTCAGGTTACACAGGGATCATGAGTGAACAGCCTTTATCAAGTCCAGACACAGATTCTAAGTTGGATTGAGGTCTGAGCTCTGACTCTGCCTCTAGAACAACCACCTTGTTGGTTGCTGCCACCTCCATGCTTCACATCATGATGCTGCCACCTCCATGCTTCACATCATGATGCTGCCACCTCCATGCTTCCCAGTGGGGATGGTGTGTTTGTGATGCAGTGTCTGGTGTCCAACAAACATAGTATCTAGTCTGTTTGCTAAAAAGCTCCATTTTGGTCTCATCAGGTCAAAGAACCTTCTTCCAGTTGACTTCAGAGTCTCCCACATGTCTTCTGGTGAACTCTAGTCCAGATTTTATATGAGCTTTTCTTTCTTTCTCTTTGTCATTCTCCCACAAACCTTTGACTGGTGAAGAACAGACAAGAGTTGTTGTGTCTCGTCTCAGCTGCTGCAGCTTGTAGCTCTTGTCGAGGAGTCATAGGTGTCTTGGTGGTTTGGCATATTTCTGTCATTTCTTAATGATTGATTTAACTGAACTATAACAGATATTCAATGTTTTGTCTTCATGGTGTAGTTACACTGCAAAAAAGTGTAGCCCAAATATAAGATATAAACACTAAATCTGAGAAGAAAATGACTTAAAACTAGTAAAATGATCTGCTGTCCATGCAGCAAGTCAATTTTACTTGATAAGAAATCTTGAAATAAGATTTTTAATGCTCAGTGAAAGATTGTACTGTAAAATGAAGGACAAAAAATGAGTAAATAACTTTTAAAAGAAGCCAAATTATCTATCGTGTCTACAAATAAGATTTTAAATCTTGGCAAGTCCCAGATTATTTGCAGCGTATATCCAGGAGTACTGATTCATGGTGACTGGACCTCTCAGGCGTCTTTAAGTGACTTTGAGCACCAACTGGCTGCACCTGTGTTCAATTCGTCCTTTTAAAGAGGATGGAAACTTATGCAATCACTACTTTATATTTTGAATTAATTGACATTGTAGAAATGTCTCCACTTTGACATGAAGGGTGTTTTGTTTTTGTAAGTTCTTGTCAAAGAAGCCAAATTAAATTGACCACGATTCAATGTTGAAAAGCAACAAAATGGGAAAACGTCCAGGGGGGTTGTTACTTTGTATTGGCACTGTACATCAGATTTCCCTCAAATTTATTTCAGAACAGTCTCCAGTTTGTCGGATCCTTCACAGGACAGCAGAGCGAGTATTTCTGACGGGCCGTCGTGTACATACACTTTTATAAAGCTGACGAACTAGTTTGTGTATATTCCCCATGAACATTGAATGTGCATAACTTCTCTGCTTCATATGATCTCTGTTCTTACTCTGGATGCTGATTTGTAACTTTAAAAATTGCCATGTAATTTGTAGCTACCTTGGTGACACATTTTCTGTGGCTGTGCATATTGATTGTACTTGATGCATAGTGCATAGCGCCTCGTTACTGTATTAAAAGGCAGTGAAATGCATGTGTGGATTCAAGTTGAACTCATCTTCACGGGTGATTGTTTAATCCAGGGGGGCTCGTTCATAAAACAGGCTCGGAAAAGTCTGGATTAAAGTCCAAAACCTGACTCGACTTTACGGAAGAAATCAGTGAAGTTTACACAAGCAGGCTCGTTTGATCCTGATTCAAGAAGTCGAGATAACTGGTCAGCGACAAACTGGTTACAGTGGATCAGAGGGATTAAACATGGAGAACAGCAGCAGTACAAAGAGCAGAAACATCCATCCATTGTCTATACGCCGCTTAATCCTCACTAGGGTCGTGGGGGGCTGGAGTCTATCCCAGCTGACTCAGGGTGAAGACAGGGGACACCCTGGACAGGTCACCAGTCTATCACAGGGCTACACTTAGAGACAGACAACCAAGCACACTCACATTCACACCTACAGACAATTTAGAATCACCAATTAACCTCAACATGTTTTTGGACTGTGTGGGAGGAAGCTGGAGAACCCGGAGAGAACCCACGCTGCACGGGGAGAACATGCAAACTCCACACAGAAAGATCCCCGGTGTCCTCACCAGGACGTAAACCGGCGACCTTCTAGCTGCGAGGCAACGATGCTAACCGCTGAACCACCTTGCAGCCCAAGAGCAGAAACATGAAGAATTTAAACATCCAAAATGCATCATAGAGAAAACCAGAGAAAAAGGCTGCAAGAAAACTGCTGCTTTACTGAGTGCAAGTTAACAACAATAAACTTTAAAGTTATAAAGCACTTCTCTTAAACTTATTCTGACAAAAAGGGTTCAGAAAACTGAAAACCTGGCAGCAAAGAGGCTTTACTAAATATTGCAATTTGAAAAACCTAAAAATAACAGCAATTATCTGTAAAATATCGAACAATATTATGATCTTTTTTGCTGATTTAAATACAGTTGAATAGTGTAGTTTTATTGTTTCATAAAATATGGACTTACTATTTGCAGAAATACAGATTTTGGATGTGGATATTATTTATTGTTTTGTCCTGGTTTTCTATAGTTGCCATGTAATTTTTTTCCCCTGTGATTTTAAACAACAAAATGGGGAAATCTGTAAAATTACAGAGATGGTTTACCATTATTCAATCTTTTAATCTTTTTTTCCCCTTCAAATAACAGCAAATATCTGTAAAATTATTATTATTGTTATTATTATTATTTTACCTGATTTAAATACAGAAATAAAACTAATTTTACAGTTAAAACATTGCAAATGAACAAACTACCATTTGTGAAAATACAGACTTTTGACGTGGACTTTATTTACAGGCTTTTTTGTGTTTTTGTTTGTTTTCGTCTTTTTCTTAAGTTTGACATGTAATTTAATGAAGATTTGTTGTCAATATGACAGATATCATAGACATCTGTAGACATTTTGACAACAGAAAATGTTAAATAAATTATTTTTTTATCAGTGTGTAATATCTATAAGCATCAGTTGTCTGTCAAATTACAGTTTTTTATTGAACGTGTTTCAGTTGAGGTCATTCCTTTATCCCTATTTATTATTACTGTATTTTTTTTATTTGCTAATGTATTCAGATCGATGGATAGTTATTCACCCCCTTGGAGAAATTCAATTTATTCAAATTAATAAATGAGTATCTTCATAAACAGACTTCAAATTAAGGTGGTTAAATTAAATTGAAATTTTTTTCTGCTGGTCTATAAAATTAAAAATTAAAAACAGGTCATTAATTTTATTATTTAAAAATAAAAATCATTTTTCAGCCTTGTGTTCAGATCCGTACCTGACCTGTGTTGAAGATCAGGAATAAGCTGACAGTAGCTGGTTAACCTGCTTAGCTCTGGTCCATCTGGTTAACTCTGGCTAACTGATGACCAGCAGCTAGTTAACATTGTTTACAGCAGATCAACCCTCCCCCACCCGGCTCAGCGGCTCCTCCTCCACTGCTAACCAGCTAGCCGTCGCTGCAAAAAGCCACCACAAGTCGGGCTGGGTTTAAAGAGAAGCTCCTGCTGGATGAGCCGACAGCCAGAACCCAGCAGAACCTCCTGCCCGTTGTGGGACTCTCCGGTTCTGGGTGTCACGGAACGATGGACAGCTAGCGGGCAGTCAGCAGCTAGCTGCGGCGAGAGCTAGCTAACGATCCGGCTAGCTCCGGCAGCCGGGGCGACGAGCACCTAACTCGGCTTTTTTTTTTTGCCCTTTTTGACGCCTGTTTTCGTGCCATGCCATCGAACTTCCAACCGAGCTAGGTTTGTACGTTAATTTTATTTCATTTAAACGCGGGATGCTTTGTTTTTTAAATTATCTGGGTCACCGTAACCGACCAATGGAGCTTATGTGGGTCAGACATCGTCTAATTAGCCTGAACAGCTGGTTAGCATGTAGCTAGCTCGTTTCCCGACGGCAGTGGATTTTATTTTTAGTTTATTTGTCTTTTTGAAATGAAATGAACAAAATTATGCGTGTTTGTGTTGGTGAAATGTTCTCTGCAGTTTGACTGGATGTAGTTAGCATCCGGTTAAACAGTTATTTTAGATATTTTTTATATTTTGGAGCTGAGCTGTTAGCTCGCCGGATTCTGTTAGCTTCGAGCAGCTTCACTAACCAGGTAAGAGCAGCTCGCTACAAACAAAGGTGACTAAACTCGCTGGTTAAACTGGTTAAATGAGTAATTAGCTGCCACACAACTCCCAGGCCGGTGTTTAAACGAATTGACTGTGTTTTAAGCAGCTCGCTTCGGACGTCAAATGTGTTTATCTGCACGTTTCTGCCGAACAATCGCTCCGGCTGCGGTGTACAGATCACAGCCGCTGCGCCTCTCTCCATCTCGGCTCCGCTTGTTTACATGGGCTCGGTAACACCACGCTCCGTGTGCCACACAGGAGGCCGATGGGTCCTGCAGAGTGAGGAGCTCCGAGCCGAGCCGAGCTGAGCCGTGCCGGGAGCAGCAGCAGCAGCTTGGTGCCGCTCCGATCCAGTGGACCGTGCGTGGGTTCGGTTAGTGGAGGATGGCCTTTCACGGCGCAGGCCGGCAGACCGTGTGTGGAGATCTGTTCCCGGGCTCCGAGCTGGGCCACAAGTACTTCTGTGTCAACTCCTCCTGCGGAGCTCCATCCACGGGCCTCAGCGCCACGCCGTGCCTGACCGGACCCACCGCCCCGGCCGGGACCCCCCGTCACCCCACGGCTCTCGGAGGCAGCGCCGGCGGCGGAGCGGCGGTGCCTCAACCCTACAGCAACCCGGCCAGCGAGGTGCCGAGCCCCGCAGAGATGGAGCCGGACCGGCCCATCGGTTATGGCGCATTTGGAGTCGTCTGGTAAGAAAACATGAGCGAGGCCCAAACATCCATCACAGTGTGCTGACATGAAGCCTGGCTAGGAGCCTCAGCAGGTTCTGTGCCTTCAGACGTGTATTTATTTGTTATTTTTATGTCTGTAGGGACCATTTTAAACAACATATCATCTGTAAGAGAAAACAACTGCAAGGACTCATCGATTAGTTATCAGCTCATAGATTATTCATCAACTGTTTGGACCATTGAGTAGTTGACCACTGAGTAATTCTTGAGATAGCAAGTCTAAAATCAGTGATTGTGTCTTCTTAGCTTCTTAGATGTGATTATTTTCTGGATTCTTTCCTCCTCTGACATCAAACTGAATGTCTTTGCGTTTTGCTTAAAACCTGACATTTGTCATCCTGGGCTTTGTAAAGCTGTCAACATGTTACAGATGATGAACACATCAGTTACTTGCTGCCTTGATTTAAACTTATGCTTGAAATGACGTCTGAGCAGCAACGATTAATCAATTAGTCAACTATTGAACTAATCATCAACTATTTGGACAATTGAGTCGCTCTTTGAGGAAAAGGTTTTCAATGATGTGAGTTTAGTTTCTTCCATGTGAATATTTGATGGTTTCTTTCCTGCTCTATGGCTGTAAACGGATCTTTTTTTTCACCATTTTCGGACATTTCAGAAAACCAACAGTTAATGAATGAATCCAGAAAATAATCAACACATTCATTGACAGTGAAAATGTTTATTGGGTGCAGCCTAATTCACCTTCATGGTTTGTGGTGTGATCTGTGATTTTTAACATGAATTCAAGAGAAGCTACAATGAACTCTCTGTTTTTGGCTTCATGTCGGGCAACAGCTCACAATGACTTTCAGTAGCAATTAAACTGCTGATTACATTTTTGATTATTTTTATTGTTTTGCCTCTAAAATGTCACAAGATGGTGCAAACGTCCGTCAGTGTCTTTAGGCCAAAGGTGACGTCTTTTAAAAAAACCTTTTGTTTTGTTCAGCCACCAGTCAGAGACTCGGTTACTCGTCCACGGCTGCAGTAGTTAATCATTTGGTCGTCGACTATTGAAGTAATCACTGATTGTTTTAAAAAATTTGATAGATTGGTGTGAGTAAATTTAAAGGGGAAAACATTTTCTTTCTTATGAATATTTTCTGGTTTCCTTCGTCTATGACAGTAAGCTGAAGATCTTTGCGTTGTGGGAAACACTGATCGATAGGTTTCACCATTTGCTGACATTTTGTGGACAGAACAGCTGATCGATTAACCCAGAAAATAACCAATAGATTATTCGACAATGAAAATAATTTTCACTGTTAGATTTTAAAATGGTGGCAGAGTCCTCATCTCTGTGCATTGACATGAAATGTTTGATGAAAAGGCTTCAGGTTTAACCGAAACCAGCAGAATAGTTTATTTAATTAACACAATTAACAAAACACAAACACTTAGACAAGATGATTCCCAACCAGTAAATGTACCTGATTTGTTTGTCATTTGATGTCTGATGTGTTAAAGGACAGAAAATACTGGAGCAAAAAGTGACACCCACATTGTTTTAGAAATGATTTTAAAAGACAAACTGCAAATCTTCACCTACTGAGAAGCTGCAGCGAGTTAAATAATTTTGGTTTACTGATTTAATTAAGCTGCATTGAATCCTTGTGCTCATCATTGTTTTTGAATTTGAACATTATTATCTGCAGATTTAATCCACAGCTTTTACCTGACAGCTGTATAATAACTAGGACATGAAAAGCAATCAGAACTTTTACTGTCATGCTTAAAACGTGTGAAATATGTAAAAGGGGATTTCTGTGCTTCCAGTTAACAAAGTTCAAACACTTAAAATGATTGTTTTTTGGGGCTAAGACTTGAAAACGATACATTTAATGATTAATCGATGCATCCTCTTGTCTACTGCTGGCCGGATAATCATGAAAAATGTCTGAAAAATCAATTTGTGAAAACAGAAAGTGACATTCAGATTGTTGTTGGTTTTTTATTTTGTAAGACATCTGAAATGATTCCTTAGATTCTGGCGACTCTGCATGTTCCCACCTTGGTTTGTAGAAATAACATCCTTTTAATCTAATAACAGGAAACAGGTCATTGCACAGATAATATTACACGTTTCCAGGTATGAAATCACAGCATTAAAATTAAAAAAAGTTCCTCAAACTGATCAACCAACTATCTAAAGAGTCGGTCAATGATTTAATACTTGACAAATTTTTGTAGTTCTAATTAAAAGCGCGATTTTTTTTCACATTATTATTGGAAATTTAAAGAGAATGTTTGAAGCATAAAGGAGGAAATTCAGCTTTGTATTCTGGTGTTTACTAAAATATTACTTGTGCTTTGTTAATGTCTTCATGTTAGCATTTTAAATCAAAACACTGTTGTCATTGTAGAATTCATTTATTCTATTATCCGTATGTTTTTGCTCCTTTGTGACCAAAAACGTAACGTTACCCAGATTTCTGCCTTTTTAATACCAAGATGGCTTCTCTTTTTAATCTAACCTTTTATTAGTTTTACAATAGAGTAATTTCCCAGACTGGGATAAATAAAGTATTTTTCTATTCTATTCTATTCTAGTTTTGTCTTTTTAAGATTGAAACATCATCTAACTTTCTTCCCGTTTTTGCTGAACTGCACTGAAAGTTCAAATGAAATAAATTCATAACTTCATTCTTAAATCACCACTGAGCTGATCGTACCAAACCACAGGCCAGTTTTTAGAATAGAAAATACTTTATTAATCCCAGTCTGGGAAATTACTGTGGTACAGCAGCAGAAAGTACTATTTAAAAATTACAAATAAAATAGGTGAATAAAATAACATAAATAAAATAAAATAAAACAACTGTACAATTTTAGTTTGATTTCATGACTTTATTTCTTCGTTTTTTCGTTTCAGGTCGGTGACTGATCCTCGCGACGGTCGAAAAGTGGCTCTGAAGAAGATGCCGAATGTCTTCCAGAACCTGGTCTCCTGTAAAAGGGTCTTCAGAGAGCTGAGGATGCTGTGCTTCTTCAAACACGACAATGTAAAGATCCCCTAACAGACGCCTTGTTTTTATGTTTGGATGTGAAAAAAAGTGACTAAATGTTGTGCTTTTCTGTCTCCGTGCAGGTTCTGTCGGCTCTGGACATCCTGCAGCCTCCGCAGATCGACTGCTTCGAGGAGATGTATCCTTCATCACACCTTCTGTCCCAGTTTCTCCTCATTAAATGTCCCTCCTGTCCTCCTTTTAATTCACTTAATTTAGCTGCAGGTCTAAATCCAGCTCCTCACTGCAGATGTGCGACCGGACACTCGTGATTAAAGCTGCTCTTTTTCCCGTGTTCCTGACACTTGTTGTTGAGCTAAAACGGAGGCCTGAGCTGCTTCGTGTCGTCGTAGGCGGAGGTCAGTGGGTTTGTTTTCCTTGACAGAAAGCCGCCCTGCAGATACGTGATCACGGAGCTGATGCAGAGCGACCTCCACAAAGTGATCGTGTCTCCTCAGCCTCTAACCACCGACCACATCAAGGTCTTCCTCTATCAGATCCTCAGAGGTGAGCGACACTCGCCGGGGCGTCACAGCTGACACATAGATCCAGAGTCTCTGTTTAGAAACAAGATTTTTTTTTTAACCGTGTGGTGTGTAGCTTATCTGTTAAAAATGTCCACAGCAGGGTCACCAGTCAAAAACCCAGTGAAGCATCTGGAGCTGCAGTGATCAGTCATGTGGTTGTCAAATGTTTAAATTATTCACCAACTGTTTTGAAAATGATTAGAAAGGATAAGCGTTTTTTAATATAAAATCAGTCTAAATTGTTCGACTGCAGCTTCTTGAATGAGAATATTTTCAGATTTTTCCCCTGCTACCCAAAAACACATAATATTACATTAAAGGAGGCCATAACTATAAACCAGAATAGAGAGCGTTCTGACATCCTGCATCTCCACATGGTCCTCCAGCTGCAGTCTGTCAGACAGAAAAGCTCTGCAGAGGATAGTTAGAGGAGCTGAGAGGGTCATCGGAGTTCCCCTCACCTCCGTACAAGAACTTCTCCAGAGCAGGAGCAGGTCACTGAACATTGTCAGGGACTCCTCACAGCCTCTCCATAAACTGTTTGAACTGCTACCATCAGGCAAACCTTTCCAGAGCGTTAAAGGAAGAACCTAAAGACTGATGAACAGCTTCATTCCACAAGCTGTCAGAACGCTGAACTGCTGATCCAGATATGCAAACACTTGTTCATTTAAATTGCTTTAAGTTGTTGGATCCTGGAGAAGCGTTCTCTCATCCTGCCTGTACTGCTGTGTACGTACAGCAACATGACAATAAGCTTGATGTGATTTGATTTTGAAACATGCACAGTTAGCATCATTTTAGGAATCTTACTCAACATCTGCTGGTTAAAGCTTCAATGTGAATATTAGCAGCTTGGGTTTGGTGTCACTTTTTATTTTCCAAAATGGATTTCTCAGACATTTTTCGTTATTTTCTGGCATTTAATGCATCGATTATTCATCAATTCATTGTTTTCCATCAACCCATGTTTACGCTCATTGAGGACGTTATTTTAGACTTCAGGAAGCTGATGGACATTTTTCACCGTTTTCTAACATCTAATCAATTAATCCAGAACATATTTGATGCATTAATCAGTGGTGGAAACAGTCATATTGATAAACGCTCGCTGACTCTTTGTCTCCTTGCTGTTAAATGAAGAAACACTTTGCATCAGCATCAGGGTTTGGATTTCTTTCAGCTCACGATGACAAATGTCCTGTTTTGTCTGAAGATATTCAGTTTACTGTCACAGAGGAGGAAAGAAACCAGAAAATATTCCCATAGAAGAAGCTGAAACCAGAGACTTCAGACTGTTTTAAACAGTGACCAAGCAGTTCTTACTTACTGCAGTGCACCTGATGCCAATTTTTCTGTAAACCTCAGAGAAATGTTGATGCGGAGGACAAACAGGTTCAGGAATGTTGTTATTTTTACGACTGCTTCGTGTCTCATCTGCACAGAAAGTTCTGCTCCTATGTAGGAAACTGTTGCTCGAAGGTGTTGTTGGGAAAATACATTTCTACAAGATATTACAGTGTTGTCGAGGCGGGACGCTGATTTACAGAGTAATGCTGTGTGTCTACAAGCTGACAGTCCTTTCACTTCAGCAACAATGGATTCAAAAGTGTGTCTTGACAAAACAGACCATTTAAGTGCTCATCCTCCAAAGTTTCTTGTCAGCGTGTGCAGCAGTTTTATGTGTGACACAGAGTCATAGCAACAAGCGCTGGATGTGTTTCTGTTGTCTGATAATTCACCAGAGAAGTCTTTGAAAAGTGTATTTAGGTAAACTTTCAAGGCTCATATCAGCTGGTGGTTGGTCAGAGCAAGTTCTAGCAAATGAAAGGTCTCATTTCTACCTACATGTGACACCAGGACCGTGTTCTAGACACGATTCACTATGTGGGAAAAAAGTTTTTTAATGAAGGCATATTTAAATCTTTTAGTCCACTTTAGCTTTGCTGTTGAAACTATGATCCATCCCATAATATTGATGCTCAAAGTTGGTTCTAGGAAAAGAAAGCAGATTTAGTCTTTTAGATTGCGACACCTGGATGGATGTTAAACTGATTTGTCTGAACAGAACTCAATGTGTTTATCAGCCCTGAATGTTTCATGTGTCTGTCTGCTGTACTGATGAAGTTATGAGGCTCAGAAATGGTGGAAAAGTCCATTAAAAAGTGTGACATTTAGACCCACCTCTGTGGACTTCAAGGGCCTGTAGCTGTGGAAATATTCATAATATGAAGGCAGTTCTCATTAAATATCCTGATGCTACTGTAGATACTGAATCAGCTGATTCTGAGCAGCTCGGGGGGAACCTTTATTAAAACTCTGCTTCAGTTGTTTGAACACAGACTTGGTAAAAACGTGACCTTCAGGTGTTTGTCAGAGTGCAGGAGATTTGATTGTGGTTCTCTGGTCCAGGTTTGAAGTACCTTCACTCTGCGGGGATCCTGCACAGAGACATCAAACCTGGAAACCTGCTGGTCAACAGCAACTGTCTGCTCAAGGTAACACTCGTCTGTCTGCTGAGTGGGAACACAGTGTTTGGTCCAATGTGGAGAAAGTCCAGAACAGAAGTCATTCTTTTCATTTCTACCTTGTACAGATCTGTGACTTCGGCCTGGCCCGTGTGGAGGAGCCCGACCCGTCGCGTCACATGACCCAGGAGGTGGTGACTCAGTACTACAGAGCTCCGGAGGTTCTGATGGGCTGCCGGCACTACGGATCGGCCATCGACGTCTGGTCAGTGGGCTGCATCTTCGCAGAGCTGCTGGGACGGAGAATCCTCTTCCAGGCTCAGAGCCCCATTCAGCAGGTGAAGCATCCAGCTGCTAACATCTGGACCCACGGGTTCACTGAGATGCCAACATGTGCAGCAGGACTCATTGTGCTTGTTTTTGTTTCAGACAGCTGCAGAGAGAAATTCAATAACAGTTTAGAGCCACAATGAATTTATTTATTGTATTATATATTTTAACATTTAAATTTTAAATTAAAAGTTTCCCCGTGTTGTTTTTTTTTTTTCACTTACAAACACTTGGTGTGTTCTGAAGCATGAGCAGGCGTGTTGTCTTTCACATTCATAAAAATACTGCTCTTGCACAGATTCTTTTATATTTAGAAAAAAAGTGATATTGTAGTCCTTTAAATGTACAAAATGTTCATGACTCACAGGTTTGAATGCATTCATGTTTGACCAGAGTGAGATATGTTCGTCAATATACAGGTTTTTAAAAAGTTTTTTCCCTCTTTATTTAGGTTGTGGATAGTTTTATGCGTTAATATGAAGGTTTTTGACCCTTCATTATGTTGATATACAGGATATGGTTATTTTATTGTGTTAATATCCTGTTATTGTGTGTGACTAACATGTCTGTTGTCTGTGCTGCAGCTGGATCTGATCACAGATCTGCTCGGGACGCCTCCTCTGTCCGCTCTGGCTTCAGCCTGCGAAGGAGCTCGAGCTCATATCCTGAGAGGTCCTCACAAACCGGTAGGTTCACCTGAGATTTAGATCCGTTTTACTTTATTATCCACACGAGTTCCACATGACACAGAAACATGTTTTATCCTAATTTTTAACCAGCAGCTAGCCGCAGTTGTAGATGATTGACAAGCTGGTAAATGGTTCACATGTTAAAAATATATTTTACGAATGAACTATTTAAAATCAAAGAGCACAAGAAATAAAGAGTAAATTATTGGTAGTTTGCAGACATCAAAATAATATAATTAGAGAAATAAAAATTAAACGGTAATAGTGATAAAAACAATATTCACAGCCACAATCCTAATAACAATAATAATTACAAAAACCATAACTACTATAATACATGCATAAAATAAATAGAAATGTTGGAAAATGTATTAAACTAGTGAAAATTAATGACTACCAATAATGATTAAAAGATGCAGAAAATAATAAAAGTCCATATTGAGGAAAAAGTGAGGAAAATCAGTAAAGCCACGAAAATATTAACAGTTTTAAAAAAAGATAATCAGTGGACCTAAACAGCAACGAAGGAGCTCAATATCAGAATGTGCTGTTGTGAACTTGACAAAACAATTATATAAAATAAAAGAAAAAAACTCTTAGTCTAGTCATCCATTTCACACATAATCAACTGGTTTTTATTTTATTTTATTTCTTCCAAAAAAAAGTAAAACACTTGGTCATAATTCTTTTCTTTTTTTTCTTGTTTTCTTCATCAGTGATTTTTTTTCTGAGCATATTTCTGTTGTTGAGGGTAACAGATGTTCAGAGGTTCTGATAACAGTGTTTGTTTGGTTCTCAGCCGTCGCTGTCGGTTCTCTACATGTTGTCTGATGGAGCCACACATGAAGCCGTTCACCTGCTCTGTAGGATGCTGGTCTTTGATCCGGTGAGTTCACACAACACAAACCAACACTAATTAACTCAGTGCGGCTGTTTGGCGTCTGAGGGATGAAAAGTCACGATGATTTTTTTCCCCAAAATTGCTCTTTTATTGTTATTGATCACGTTTATCTTCAGTAGCTTATTGTGCAGCTACTTGAAATGTTTTTATTTGTTGTTGTGCAGCACCAGCATTATGTGCCTTATGTTACACAACATAAAAAACCACCTGCTCCACCCTGTTGAACTAGACTGTGGTATCAGGCATCAACGTTTTAGCACCTGCTAATCTCACTATTTTGAATTTTAACCCCCTGTATCACCATGGTAACTTATGCCGTAGTGCTAGATCACCATGGTAACTGATGCT